ATTATTGTCTGATTTTTTCTCTTAGCCTTGATGAAGGCCTGAACTTTGGGCCGAAACGACGGCAAAAATAAAAATAAATATAATTTATTCATTTTTACTTTTTTTTGACTGAGTTCTCCTGCCAATCTTCTCTTCCATTATTCATCAGGTTATAACCAAAAGCAAAGTAGATTTCATTATTTGGTAGATCGAAACAAAACTGATAAATATAGTTTTCAAAATCCTGTGCCTAGCGAGTATCTGGATCCGGCAAAAATTTATATTATGTTCTATTTATAAAATATCTAACCTTTTTAAGTGTATATCGTAAACCTGGCGGTTGAACCTGGTCTGATCACACCATTGTATAACTTTGATTTTATAAATAATACTCCCTTGTCATAAATACTTAATGCAAAATCTTTCATGGTTTGAAGGTATAGAGGGTACACGTTAAAGATGAGATGAATTAATATATAAAATAAAACAAGAGAAAAAAACTAAGGTATGTGCTTTAGACCACACGATAGAAGTAAAAACTTCAACAAGGCGATATTGATAATGTGAATTATAAATAATAGCCCATTACAAAGAGGATGAAATGCTGAAAAATTACCTCGCTTACAGTATGCAGGTCCAATTTTTACTTCTGAGATATTTTAAACCATATCTTCCATAAAATTCGTTTTCATTTGGTTTTCGTAACAATCTTTTTTTCCTTTTCGCCTCCCTAACATAGCGTCGCGTTAAGACACAATTTTAATAATAGCTCACTACAGAGAGGATGAAATGCTGAACAATTTCCATGCTTACAGCATGCAAGTCCGTTTTTTAATTTCTGAGATATTTTAATCCATACATAAAAACGCTTCAGTTAGTCGACTACAGCGGACTGTACCCGAGCGTTACACTTCGGAAATATGACGGATCAATCTAATTAACACTTCACATAAGGTGCAATACGAGCCTAAAGAAGTTTTCACTACAGAAAAAGTTCCTATAAACCTGGTTCATAAACAAACAAAAAAACAATCTGCTTTATTTACTAAAAAAAAAATTCCTCAGTAATTTTTTTTTGAAGTGGATACCCACTATTTATTTAATAGATAAATAAATAAAATATAATGTTAGGTTCTCTTCATTTTATCTGTTAACATAAAGGATAACCAAAATTATGATCATCCAAGTTTCATGGAGTAATTAAGTTATTTAAAGATTAAAATGACATTCGTAATCTTGTATGTGTTCTTTAATGTTATGACCATCCACCCAATAGGATTTTACTAGAATAATTTTAAATAAAAAGTGGTAGATAATTTTTTCCCTTCTCTGAATTTATTGAAATCCCAAGTTAGCCAGTGTAACGAATGCTATAAATTTATTGAGATAAGTTTGAGCAAGATGTTTGATCTTAAACAAGGTAAACACCCCTGGAGAGATATCTGTATACTTTATAGACTCCTCTTTGTAAAAAAATACAAAAAAACTAGGACCCCTAAGAAAAGTGGAAGGGTGGTATATGGAAGAGCGACCTGGGGTAGAGAACATATGGACCCCGTCCGAGTCTTCTTTCATATTTATGTTGCTTGTTACTGGCCCTCCCTTACCCGCTTTTAAATTGAAATCTGATCTGTTTTGAGCTACGGTCTATGTGAATGATTTATTGACAGCACCCTCTTATTCTAGTTTTCTTGTATGTCCCTATAAAATTATGTGTTTCCGTATATTTCTAGCCTTCGAGAAATTCATAATTGATTCTTCAGCTGTATATTTTTTCAGGTTATGCCTTTCACGCAATTTATCTATGTTTATCTATGGCATTCTTTCAAGCGATTATGATAGATTTTGTAAGTAATAATAAACTATAATAATAAACATGAGAAGGAGTTTGTCGGGGGTGCGGTCAGATAAATACTAAATTAAAATATAGTAATTATTTTATTTAGGCCGACGTTTCGACCCAATATATTGTCACCCACTATACCTCTGATATCATCTTTTATTTCTGTATCTGACAACTTCTTCTTATTTTATATCTACTTATATTTAATTTTTATTCTCAACATGTTTTGTTTCTTTTGTAGCTCTGAAGACGGCATGCAAAGTGGGTCGAAACGTCGGCAAAATTAAAATAAAATAACTACTATATTTTAATTTAATCTCATATTATATCAACGTTCAACCATCTCTACATCATTATAATAATAAACATGAACAATTTTCGGTTTATTATTTTCAATAATCAACCATTGTGATCGACCATAAAATTCAAAAACTTAACCCCCTCTCAAAATTTGCGGTTTGACGTTTCAGGAAACGTAGAATTTGAAAAACGAATACAAATTTTTTAGTCCGTCCGCCGTCCGCGCATTTTCTCCGAAACCATTTGACAGACTTTTTTCTAATTTTGATATAAAATCAGAGGTCACCCGAGGATGATCCTCCTTCATCGACATTATTACCCGCCTTTCATTTCCATAATGGCGGCTGAAAAACCTGCGTTGCTATAGACTGTAGCGCCTAAACGATTTCAATGAAACTTCGCTAAAGTCATTTTCTCTACTGTGTTTTTTGAAGGTTTACCATATTTCCTGAAAACCAAAAGAAAATCGTTAAAATCGGACAATTAGGAGCACAGATATGGTCTCCGGTTTTTTAAAATATGTTCTGCTCATAATGTTTGGTTTTTAAATTTTGAATGTGTTACTGAAGTAATGCTATTTTTTTTTAGCATATTACCAATGATTAAAAAGAAAATTTTAGTCCAATAATTGGAATCACCTTTTATTTATTTGTCTTTGTAACTATGAAGGTAATGTTACTTTAGATGTATAATTGTCTGGAAATAATAAACCATTGTGGAATAATTTGCAGCGTTTTTTTTTATTGTTTCGAATGATTATATATCAGAAATTGTATATATTTTATATAATTTTTTTTTGTCCGTCCCTCGCTCCACTCATTAAGGTGGTCCCCAAAGCAGAACATTAAAAATAAATAAACTGCAACTTCATTGCAAAAACATTACAAACAGCAAAGGACAGGATCAAAACAATAGACAAAAAATACGTCATATATAAAATCTAATGTATGCAGTATCCTAAGTAATATATAGGTGAAACGTCACAAAATAAAGAAAAAGAATTAAGCAACATAAACCAAATGTAAAAAATCCGAAAAAAAACACAGAATTGTCGAACTATACCATCCGACAGCCACACCTTTGACTTTAACAATGCAAAAAAATTTCAAACAGAGTGGACAACAATACAACTAGAAAAATAGAGTGATTTTCAAAACTTATATTTAAAACATTGCACAACATTATGTTCATATATTAAATGAAATTAGTTTCTAATTAGAATAAAATCTTCAGCATCTCTATATCCCATGTATATTAGGTAATTCCTACAGGGACATACATCCCTTAAGAGTTCAAATGTTGAAGTTCATTTTAAACAATAATCAGAGAAGGTAGTGAATTCCGTGCGAGTATATGTATTAAATAAAATAAGCATACAAATACAGAATTTTAAACATTTTAATTTTGAAATAGTCTCAAATTTGAATCATATTTATATTTTTGTAGAATTATTAATATGTTATTGTTAGAGTTATTAATATTTATTGTTATAAAATATGTGAATAAAATGGAACTTGGAAATTTACGTTGTTATAAACCAGATATTAAATATTAGAAAATTTTTGAAATTATGGAATTTCGGTAAGTTCTCACAGTAATATCGGCAATGTATTTACATACATGTAATTGTCATTAGGCAGTTAATGATTATTATTAACAATGTTTTTGTGACTATTTGTAGAGAACTTAAAAATGAGCACACTGCTCTAAACGTCGTTAAGTATTAAATAAATTGTTAAACTGTAAGGGCTTGTATATATATTTGGAGACACCATTTGTAAGTAAAATAAGTGTCCTTGAAAAACTTAAGGAAGTAACTAAATAAACATTACAAACAATTCACTTCAAATTAACGAAAACGTTTTTTTTTTTTTTTTTTTTTTTAAGAGTTCTGTCTTTGAGGGTTTATCTAAATCGTACATTTACCCTTTAAGTAAAAAATAACACTTTAAGTAAAAAATAACGCTTTATTTACGGGCCTACGTATAGAATATGGAAGAATATATTTTTTTTGTTTCCTTAGGTTATTATCGGAGGTCTCTAATATTATATTCGTAACCAGATGGCGTATTATACAACTAATCATCAGCAACAATTTACAAGATGATAGGAATAGATAAAAACAATGAAATAAAACTTTTTTTAAATAAGAGTATTGATATAACCAGAAAATCAAGATTAGATTATATTTGAAAAAAAATCCAACCACACAGTGGAACTATCAATATGGTATTGATAAAATATCATAATAAATATGATCATGGTCAATAAATAAATAAAATCTATTGTGCGACAGGATGCATGGAGTGATGTGATGTTAGATTTGTCCTCTTCTCTGTCCTGATTATACCTGAATTGGCGAAAAATTGACTAGTTATTTTATATTTTACCTGCACTTTAGAGATAGATTCAAGACTTTGTGGTTGGAGTTGTTCCAATCATAACCTAAATTTAAATTAGAAAAACGTTTTAATTGGTAATTAGCTAATAGGTAACTAAAATACTTTTGCCAGACCCTTGCTCAAGACCGAGATCAAGACCAAGGCTAAGTGTGCAAGACTAAGACTCGTCTTTGTATTTGGTCAACGCTGATTCAGGTATGTCCTGGCGGTCATTCGTTCCCGGCTTGTTACCTAAAATTTACTCTTTTCCTGCAGTAAAGAGTTATTTTTATAGTATACAAAGCGAAAATTGTATCTTCCTACTTAGTGTTCAACTAGCCGACACAAAGAATAAATCATCTTTGAAAACCACCAATAACTGATTAACGCATCATAAAACTATTCCATTTTACTAATAAATGTATAGTTCTACTAACAGTATTATTTATGTTTTACACTTATTTTTATTGCTCTACTTATTCTTGGTGATGTTTCAGATCCACCCACTGTTCACGGAAGCCTGCCTGCGTGCTCACATGACCCAGAACGCTACCTCTGACCTCCAATACGTCAAATACTTCTCTCCTAAGGTCAAAGAAAAATGTGTTTGCTATATCTAAGGCACGGTAGTTCTTAGATAGGATCCCTTCTCTGCCCTAACACTCCGATCTTCGCCTGTGAACTCTATATTTGTGAAAATATATTAATGTAATTATTGGCTGTATTTGTATCATATTGTATAGCGCGGGGCTGTTGGTAAAGTCCCATGCCTAAGTTGTAATTATTGTTGGTACAAAAAAGATAAAATAAAAAAAAATAAAAGACCTATTCCAGGTTTTCATATCCGGATGTTTCCGTACTTGGTGTAAACTTCGATTGGTTTGTAATACTTCTATATTGACGGTTCCTTCTGCTGGAACATGCAAGTATTCATAACTGTTTCGTTTGTTTTTAAATTGAAAGACTTTTCGAAGTGTACTGTTGATGGTTAATTAACGTCTAATAGTACTTTATTGTAATGATTGTAATTAAGATTGGAGTATTTGTTTATTTTTGTTACAAAATAATTATTAAGAAAATTAAAAAAAAAAATTCAATAACTAAATATAACTGCTGTCTCGTATAATGATAATTTGTTCATTTGCTGCTCAAGGCAGATCAGATAATGGTTAAGGTTACCAGAAAATATAATATAGTTTGATAAGTGATCGTTGTAAGGTAAGGAAATCTATAAAGATATATAAATATATATATATGCTTTTTCATATTTTTTTAAGAAAACTAAATTAATTTTAAATAATTAATAAGAAAAAAAATTTAAAAAAAGTAAAAGATTGTCACTGTTGTCTTTCCTTAACATACAGCCTATACTTCTGATTCGACATGTTAATGTGTTTAACAGTTTTAGTGTTACCAGTATTTCACATCACATGTACCAAACCATAATTTTAGGTGTTAATAAATGTTGGTAATAGCTGTTAATGTGTCACTACATTGTAGAATAATTTTTGGAAGAAAAAATATTGGAATTTTGGATTTCAAAAAAAAAAAAAAAAATGTCGAATAATTTATATCGTTGTCGATTGATAATAAGACGGAATGTGGAATAACTGTTTGCTGTGGTAAAGTTTATGTAAAGAGAAATGGCAAGAGATATTTTCAAATTTTGAGCTGTGATTCGGAAAGATTGTTGAAGCGATAAGTTTGTAAATTGATTTATATGAAGAATGAAAATTGTGTACTTTTGAAAATAAATTGAAGTTGGTAATAAATGTTATAAAAATGTCTTTTCTTACTTTTTTTTTTTGATTTGCACAGTTATGAGTTATATTTTCCATGTTTAAATATTTCTAGTAGTTAAAACATTGGATTAGTGGTACGCACCCTGCACTTACTTTGGTGTGATCGGTAAATCTTTATTACTTTTTCTTGGACTACAAAGATTTACCTACAGGTTATCAGGTTTCCCGGCAATGTTACTTTCGGGTGAAAGCTTTTTTATAGATAAATACCTTTCTTTTTCTGTAAGTGTTTTTTTTTTGGTTATTTAGAAGCGTAGAGGACTAGCTCAATGAATTAGACACTGGGAAGCTAAGCTCAAGATCCCGGGTTCGAATCTGACTGATGTCAAGTAATTATTCATAAACCGTGAATCGGCTCTGGGGCCGGAGATCCTCTTGGGACACATCCGGCCTTGTATAAAGTGGATGATCTTAATTAAATAATTAACTAAGGGTTAAAACCTGGCGGTATAGCGTGAACTGACCGTCTTCCTGCACAACCGTTGGCTTTGAAACAGTACTTCCTATGAAAGCATTGAGCCCAAAACCTTTCATAATTTTGTATGCTTTTATTTTTTTACTTATTTTTTTTTTTTTGTGAGGAGGGTTACTATTAGAATGTGGAAATAAATTAAGCGCATCAAGGTGTCAAACTAAGCTAGATTACATGAATTATCAGGTACACTTATGAATATGTTTTAAAAGAAACATTAATTCTTAGTTATCTGTTTGTCTTTATTCTTCATTAGCAGTGAAGATAATCTTAAAAATAATTGTTCATCACTAGTTTTGTTCAAGTATTAAATTAGAAATGGCGTATCAAAAAAAAAAAAAAAAAAAAAAAAAATCCCATCAGTTGTAATACACAATGATTTTAATTCACAGATTTCTTCATTGAAGAAGAAAAGGGAATAGGAAAAAAAAAAAAAAAAAAAAAAAAAAAAAAAAAAAAAAAAAAAAAAAAAAACACAATGGGTCCTTAAGAAGTATGGCTTTGGACAGAGATGACACCCCCGGATGTGCACTAGCCATAAAATCATAAATCACAATCATCACTTCCCCTTTTGTCGTGGTCTTTCCAATCCCCTTATGGTGTTCGGCCGAGAGTATCCCATTTGTCACCCAGTCGATGGCACGAAACACTTATCGAGGAGCAGTTGAATAAGTCACATTTATTGAATCGTGTTATAAAATAATTTATCTGATCTGTTTCTACAGCTTTGATTATAGTCGAATGGCTTATATCACTTGTGTATTTATTAATGAAGAAAAGAAGTATAAGCTTAATTTCTGAAACCCATTGCAATATAATTGAGATGCGATATGAAAGAATTCCTTATTTGCAACTGATAAAAACTTATATATACATTATGTGGATTAAAATTAATGATCTTAATCATTAAAATGTTCAACATTTAATCTATGAAGGCCTAGATGTCATTGAGGAAGACGATATAGAATATGGCGGGATAGAATAGCTCCCGCATTAATAAAATATGGAGGACAGGAATTAATTAAATTTCTCCAACGATTCCTCCAAAAATATGGTATATAAAGACAGCCCCAAGAGACTTGGAATTCAGTTTAATTGTCCCTATTCATAAAAAGCTTAGCTCCACAGATTGCGAAAACTATAGGCCAATAAGCTTACTTTCAATGGCTTACAAACTATAATCCTCATTCTTAGAAAGAAAATGAAGGCTTGTAGTTGAGAACCCAATAGAGAGCAAACAAGCAGGCTTTCGTCAGTGGAAGCAGACTCAAAATCATATTTTCGTGCTAAGAGGCATCGCAGAGAAAGCATGGGACAGAGACCAGAACATATACATGGCATTTCTGGACCTCAAAGCAGCATCGGCTTATAAGGAAGCAAAAGGAATTTTAAGGATTAATGATAGAGAGTCTAAGCCTTTTCACATGGAGAGAGAGGAGTCAGGCCTAAATCTCCTCTTATTCATCATATTTATGGATGAAATCCATAAAATTTGTATACTTCCTACTTTTTGGACGGTCATCGGAAAATGGAACGTAAGGAATATTATGGTCCAAAGCCAACTACATGCCGATGACATCATTCTGATTGCGGACACGAAAGACAAGCTGCAACAGGGACTTGGAGAATGACAGAAAGAACTCCTCCACATAGGTATGATTATCAATAGTTCCAAAATTAAAGTCCTAGTCGTATCAAGAGATGAACAAAAGGACGTCCAGCTGAAATGTAACGAAGAGGTACTTGAAGTTGCGCAATAATTCAGCTATTTGGGGACAATTATGTGCAACATGGGGAAGATGTACCCAGAAGTAGCGAATAGAACATCCAAAGCCAACCAGGTCTATTACCCTATCTGCAACAATAGTTGGGCACAGGGAAGTTGGCAAGGAAACTAAAAAGGCATGCATGGAAGCGAAAGCTGGATCATACTGGCTGGACAAGCAAGTTAGCCGTGCCGAGGTGAAGTTGCTGCGGATAGCTGCTGGAAAGACCGAGAGGAACTGTCAGGAATGAACGCATATGAGAGCATTAAGAGGTGGCAGAGCTAAAGACATTACTGGAAAAGCGGCAGTTGAAGTGGTTTGGTCACGTTTCCGGATGGAGAAGGAGAGAGATCCGGGAAAGGTTCTGGAACTCGACCCGATTGGAGGAGGGCGAGTTGCCGCCGCAGAATTTCCTATCAGAAGTGTATGCAGCGTATTGGAGAGAAGAGAGGCAAAACCCTCCAGAAATAAGGCGGCTTGGTAGGGACTGAGAGGCATGGCTGCATTAAATAGAGGCTTCTGGCCGCCTCGACGATCTTAGTAATTGCACGAAGATGAAGAAAAAGAAGAAGAAGATACTTCTCTATATGAAAACAGATCTATTGATAGTAGATGATTATAGTATACTATTGTGTAATAGCATCAGTTATCGTAATACAGTAGATATGGTTTTCTCTTTACCAATTACTATATGATTTCTATGAAACTGTAGATTTTAAAATAACTATTTTATTTTTAAAACTTCACTGGTAAGACATTAGTTTACCTCCAAAAAAAAAAATAAATAAAACAACTGCGGGTGGAGTAACTGGATACAGTAGATATTGAATGGTATATCTTTCTTGTATTTATAAATTATGTATATGAATAATCTACATAAATATATAAATAATTTACATACAAATAAGTAGATATTAAACGAGATTCACCAGTGTCATAACATAACACGATTAAGCCTTTAATTATTTTTATAAGTTAACTTGGGCTAAAGAAGCTTTAGAACAAATTGAAAAAAAAAAAATCCCTATTTCTGTGTTGAGGATTACTACTTTGTTGACCTACATTAGATTATATTCCTTGAAGGAAGTCCTTTAATAAAGCACATTGGAATTATAAGAGAAGAGGCTTGATGAATAGCTCCCACTGATTGGTTTGCTAAGCCGAAGAAAGAGCTCACAGGATCCGGTATAATGAACTATTGTATTCCCAACTTCGAGAAGACAAGGATGTTTGAGAGGGAAAATACATTAGTCTGGAAGCTGAGGATAAAGGTTTACTCGTACAGGTTTCCGGAGTTAATGGTTGGTCTTGTTTGTTGAAGGAAAGGTTGAATATATTAAACTTGCTTGAGACAACAGCAGCAGTGAGCATGCTTCCCTGCAACAACATAAATCTCTCTTGATTAATTGCTGTCTTAATCTGGTTTAGGTACATTCTCTCTCTATCTTTCAGAATATGCCTTCAATTTCCGTCATTTAAACATTAGATATTATAATCTGATAACAATAATTATGTATATAAATACATGTAATCTAACGATATTCCGTATTTGAAATTTCTATGTACTTTTTTTTTTTTCTTTCCCCCTAGGAATTTCTTTATTACAAAATACAATATATATAAATGTTATATATACATGATTTTTTGATTTCTTTTTATTGAACAAAGGCATTTTAAGGT